ATATATATATATATATATATATATATATATATATACACTACTACCAAGGAGACACGGGCTAAAGAATTTTAGGTGAAATATCACAATGTGTTACTTGTGCCTAGTTTCAAAAGATTTGAAAGTTTCTGAATCTGCCTCTGAACACAACTCCGTGGGGACAGCCCCGGTGGCGGGAGTCTGCCCCAGGGTCTCCTGGGCCTCTCCCCATGTTGGTTTGCTCTAGAGGTGTAGGTTCTGTGATGTGTTCCTGGACCTCATGTGTGTGTGGAGGGAGTGAGGGACCTGAATGGGGGGGCGACATAGATATTAATATCTGATAAACATAGTTAAGAGGTATATTGTATTGTCACTTGAACCACAGTCCTGCAATGTTTCCGGGGCTGGGGATTTAGCTCAGTGGCACAGCACCTGCGTGGCAAGCGCAAGGTCATGAGTTCGATTCCTGGTGCCAAAACAAAATAAAAAAGAAACGTTTTAAATGAAATCTTTGGCAGAAAAAACAGAAGGTTTAGGAGCTAGGGATGTATTTCAGCAGCACAGCTCCTACCCGGCAAGGGCAAGGTCCTGAGTTCGACTCCTGGTACCAAAATAAAGAAAAAAGGCAATCAGAAGGCCAAACAACATTGACAGTAACATTTGGAATTGAGTTCTCCTGTGGTGGAGATGGGTAGGGGATGGGGGGGGACCCCGGTGGCCATGTTGTTTTCTTCCCCCGCCTGGCGAAGTCCGGCGGGGGGAGAGTGAGTGTCCGCCCTATGATGAATCCATGAATTTGCCTGGCTCCTTTTTTATATTGTCCGGAATGTGTGTCATATTGAACAGTTTTCAAGCTTTCAAAAATACCAAAGCAGCAGACTCACACGACCTAAGGGCCCATCAAAAGGGGACTGGGCCCAGTGGATCGTCTGGGGACACTGAGACAACTCTGCAGGGAAACCACACTCAGACCTCCTATGTATTTATGTGCCCGCTTTGCAGAACACGCACAATGTTAGGATTGGCTACACAGTGCATTCTGTGTGTTTAAAGCGCTTTTGAGGGGCTGGGGCATCTGGAAGGATCCGTAAAGAGGTGACAGCTGTCTCCAGGGAGTAAGAGCAGAAAGGGAGGATTAAGAATAGAAGAGCAGGGCATGGTGCTGCACACCTGAAATCCCAGCACTCCAGAGGCTGAGGCAGGAGAATCCCCATGAGTTTGAAGCCAGGGGTGCTACATAAGTGAGCTCAAGCCTGAACTACATAGTAAGACCCTGTCTCGAAAAAAAGAAAAAAAAAAGAAATAGAAGCAAGAAATATCTTCTTTTTACCCTGTATCTACACCACTTTTGAGTTTTTAAATAAACTACTTT